TATCTTCAAAAGGGCCAGAAAGAATTGAAGACATTTCAAATTATATAAAAACTACATATATTAGAAAAGTAGACAAAACAGGCATATCAAAAATTGAAAACTTTTTAAAACTTTTTGATGTAAAAAGTAAGTCTGTGGATGGAAATCAAAAGAAATTTCGATTAAAATTTTGTAGTTGGATGGAAACTACTACGGAAATCTCAACTTACAACACATCAACAGGAGCGCCTTGCAAGTCATACGAAGACTTATGTTCAAGGTAAAAAAAAAGAGGGTCACACAAAAACTTTTTTCAATCTCAAATGAGGAAATTGCAGATACATTTAACGAAATGCTGAAAAAGGAAAACCAACATATGGATGTCGTACATATTGCAACTATTCTTCCTAATGCATCACCAAAACGACTTAAGCGAATTGTGGAAAGTATACCAACTCCAACATCATAATCAAATTTTACTGAAGAGGAAGCAATAGCGCTTATGTTGGAACTGGGTCTCAGTCGAAATAAGTACCAAATATTAAGGAAAGCTCTGCATGAAAAAGGACACAATATATTACCATCATACAAGGCGATCCAGGAAAAAAAAAAAAAACAAACTATCCTACTAAATCAACAAAAAATAATGAAGAATTTAAAGAACTGAGAGCTGCGGAAAAAAGCAGAATCCAAGAAGAATTTAAAGTTCAGATGGGATTAAACATCGACAAACCACTTTCAAGTTGCGGTAGTACAAATGACGGTAATACGTCGAGAAGGTTTTTTCGTGATTTTGAAATTACTTCAAAAATAACTGGAATCGACAAGGAGTTGCTTCGAAGAGTTAAAACTATTTTAATGGCACTGAATAGTAAACATAAAATTAATGAAAATCGATTTGGGGAATACACATCTGAAATTTCTAAATTACTTGTATCTCTGTATCCATGGAGGGAACTAATACTAACAGTACACAAAGTATTGTGTCATGGTCAAATAATAATTGAATCGAATATTCTTCCACTTGGAGAGTTAACAGAAGAAGCCCAGGAAGCGAGGAATCGAGATTTTAAGCATGTTCAACTATTCAGCTCAAGAAAATGCTCCAGGCAATCACAGAATGAAGATATTTTTAATAGTTTACTTCTATCTTCTGATCCTGTTCTTTCAACTATGCGAAAAAGATGGATTTGTTATGAAACTCTATCATCTCAAAACAAGGAAGATTTAAAGGACTTATATTACCTTCTGGATATGTATACCGATATGACAGATTATTTTATAGAAAATAAGTAGTGTTAGGAATTAACTATATAAGTAGGTTGTAAGAATTAATTGTATTATGTTTAAGATAAACAGTTCAAATAAAAAAAGCTATTATACTAACTGATGATATTGTATTAAATTGTGTTTTATATTTCGGTGGGCGGGAAAGGTAATTTGTGTGGGGTGATTTAGGTGTTGTTTTGCGTGGCTCATAATAAAATTATAATTTTTTTTTATTTTATATACAATATTATAATAAAATAATTAACTAAATAATTTTTAAAAATTGTCCAAATATTTTATTCAACACCAAATGTATGTTCTGTCATACTTAATACTAAAATATGAAAAAGATGAAATTAAAGGACACAGGTTTAAATGAACATATTTTTGAATGTAATTGAGATATTGGCTTGAAATTTTTTGTAAAGGGTCTAGAATTTCCATATATAACTAAAAAATGATATTAAGGGATAAATATGGACTAAATTGTTGTAGCTATCTGCGATCCTATTAAAATTTTGATATAAATCATAGTTTTAGAAATTAAACAAATATGTAATATATGACAAAATCTTTATTTATGAACAAAACTCAATGAAATTTTCAACGCTTGTTAAATTTGTCATTTCAAATAAGAATATGCAAAAAAAGATTGAAAAAGTCAAAGGGCATCCCGCAATTCCTAAAAATAGGAATGAAAATCCCAAAAATGGGATTTTTTACTTTTTTGCCCATAGGGTCCACATTTCTTTCAGAGCTGGGAAAATACTTTTGGAGTAAATAGAAAACATATTGAGGTTTCCAAAACTGCTTTCAGTTTTCTGATCCCAGCTTTGGGATTTTAGAACATGTCGCCCAAAGTTGAAGTTTTGATAAAAAATAGGTCATATTCGGAAGGACGCAGTGGCAACATTTTCAAAAAATAGGACAAGTTTTTTACGCCAAAGCATTCTGCGTAAAGATACCTTTTAGAAAACTATAAAATTGTTATACGTTCTTAATAAAAATTTTATTTTATTAATAAAAGAGTTAAGACACATTTTTGGCAAAAAAACGCCAAAAATCTAAAATTTTTTGAATTTTTAAATTAAAAAACGTATATTTTGGATCTGTAAACGATATTGATCTGAAATTTTTTGTATATTATTGTAAATTTTGTTGTCTAACTAACAAGAAAAAATTGAGTCCATTTGGTCCAAAATTACGCCCGGTATTCAAAAAAAGGCGGACCAAGGTATGGTAAATTTTGTATCACTAAATTTTTAAATGCCTATAACTCGGATATTATAAGAGATAAGTAGTATGTCCAAGCATGTTTTTTCAAGATCTCGTCGAGCGCTTTCACAAAATATAAAAATCTTTGTATTTGGGTGAAAAACAAAAAAATGGCACGAGTTTAAAAATTTTACATGTCGTAGGTACCCTACTTTGAGCCGCCACAGCGCCGTCCCTGGGGCATCTGCAGGGTTCATCTTCAAAACTTAAACTCGAATACTCCTTGGCTACGCTCACGCCAAATTTTATCCCGATCGGATCAGCCGTTTAGAAATGCCAGATTTATTTCCAAAAAATGTCCATTCTGCCCCACTGTGCGTTGCAAATATGGACAAAAAAAATGGGTTTTTAAATTTTTAAGACGCGATATCTCGAAAACCGAATGCAATGAAGAAATACTGAGGCCAAATCCGGTTTCAGTGCTGCTCAATTATATAGAAAAGTATAATTAAGTCTCGACTTTTTTTAAAAATTTGTTGACCTGTGTAATCGTCCCGAAATACATGATACTCAATAATGTGAAATCAAAAGCTATTAATATCTATCTATCTTCTTCTATCTTCTATATATATAAAAATCAATGTATGTTTGTAGGAGGCTAAACCACTGAAGCGATCTTCTTGAAATTTTCAGTGTATGTTCCCCTATATCTGGAAAGAACTATAGGCTACTTTTTATTTTGAAATTGCAAGTGGGAGTGGTGCCACGCCCACTTCTTTAAAAGTCGAATATCTCGGTACATGGTACAACTAGAGTCCTCAAATTTGTTATGGACAATTTTGACATTCATATGATAATTTGGTGGAAATAATTTGGAGGACTAGCAATAGGGGGCGTGGTACCCCCATCTATTTATATAAAAATTAATGTGTATTTGTATGTTTGGACTTTAAAGACAGCTAAACGGACGGACCGATTTTTCTGAAATTTTCAGTCTCTTCCTGTATGCCTGGAAGGAACTATAGGCTACTTTTTACTTCAAAATTTGAAGTGGGCGACGTGCCACGCTCACATTAAAAATTAGTATTAAAAGTCGCATATCTCAGAAACTGCAAGAATTGGAGTCCTCAAATGACACCTTCCATATGAAGAAAATATTAAATCTGAGAAAATATAAGATAGAGTCCTCAAATTTTGTCGGAACCATATAGTGTCAATATTATTATTTAAGGAAAAAGGGGACGGACTAAAAGTAGAGGGCGTGGCATCTCCCATAAGAATTAAATTTAAAAAATCGCTTATCTGGGAAACTATTAGTGTCAGATTCTTCAAATTTTTTAACATTCATGTAAACATTTTGGGTAATAAATTGGCGGACTACCAATGGGGGACATTGCTCCTCCCATATGAATAAATATAGAAAAATTCGTTTATCTGGGGAACTAATAGAGCTAGCATCTTAAAATTTTGCACGAAGAACTTTAATATTCATATGAATATTTTGGGGAAAAAGGGCGGACTTTCATCAGGGGGGGCTTGGAACGCCCCATATAAATTAAATAGATTAAATAAATTCGTATATCTGAGAAACTATTATGTTATTCAAATTTTCATAGGTTACATTAAAATCTAAATTAACGTTTTGAAAAATTGACGAACTTGCAATAATTTGTGTAACATCCCCAAAATGTAAAAAATGTATATCTGGAAAACTATGTATAGTTAGAATCTCAAAATCGTAGTGTTTTTTTATTTACATTGCATTTAGGTTAGCAAAGTACACTGGGTATAGCTAGTGTTATTATAAAACTCAAAATAGTTAATCTGTTACAAAAAACACAATATTTATTTATTCCAAAAATAACAGATATTAAAGTTATTTTTAGATCGTAAAATATTTAAATTTTTCGTTTTTCGTTTTTCGCAATCACTATAAATTTGATTAAGCTCAAAATTTGTTTAAGATTAAAAAAAAAAACTTGTTTTACAAAATTTTTAATTTAAAACTGAATTATATAATTAATTCAATTAAAGCATTTTATAGCTTTATTTAAATATACATTTATTATTTGTATTTTATATTGGCATGTGTTCCGAATTATTAGATACATATAAGATTCAAGTCATTAAATTTTATAAAATTTTCTTTAAATATGTTTTATTATTTTCACCAAAATTTCACTAAATTTTAAACTTTTTAAAAGAGATTTTTACCCGCCTGGGAATTTAAAACTTTTAAAATTTAATTTTTTTATATAAATATTTGAAAATTTTTTGTGCGATTAAAATTAGATTAATTAAACCTTATTTTCAGTAATTTATATATTTTTTAAACACTTTTTATCAACTTTTAACGCATAATAAGTTTTTTCTTAAAAATTCATTGACACGTGTTGAAAACTTTAGCTTTTTTTAAAATATTTTATTAGTATTTAGTTTTTTTTAGTAAAATAATCATATTTTTAACTCTCTTCTCAACATTTTCCACTTTTTCTTTAACAAATATTTAACTCAAGGAAGATCTTTATCCCATTTACCTTGTAATCACTCATGTTTTTAAACGTTTTACTTATAGTTACACGCCCGCTAAACTTTTCGAAAAAACTGCTGTTACCGTTAAGACGTCACAATTAAGAAAAAACCTTGTATCAAGCCAAACGATGCTTCTATATACCCCAGCAGCAGCTATAACAGTCGTCACACCCCAAAATGTTGTTTATCTAGGTTCATTCTCATTCTCAGCTTCATTAGGATTCAATTTTGTGGTATCGAAAAAACCAGTCGTATTTTTATCGGTTGTTATTTTTGGGTTTCACCTGGTTGTTGTTTGTTGATCGAGAATAGTTGAGTAGAAATCTAATAAAAACAAAATTTAAAAACCGGTGTTGTTCAAAAACAAAATTATTCAATATTAAGTTTAGTTATTTTTTTTTTTTTTTAAGTGTTCAGTTTTATTGCATATTAACCAGTTATGAAACTAGTGGAACCAAAATGCCGGTCAATTTCTTTTTGTTGTTTTTAAACTGGATTTATATGAAGATAATGAAAAACACCACCTGATGTTGTTGTTACATTTATTTGGTTTGAACTACAACTTATGTACCTGTTTGTAAATTACTTGTCATAAGATCAATTTGTATTAGGGTAATGCCCTTTTAGGTAGTAGACGATATGTTATGATCAGTCTGGATATAGTCTGGATTCTAATAAATTCTAAGAAGATCCCAGCTAACCATCGAGAGTCTCTTTATATTACGCTAGGCCCCAATTGTTGAGGACCTAAAGAAAACAAACATTGTTCGCGGTTTGTTAAAGAAATTAAATTATTTATGCTGTTTAATATGCATTTCAGGAGGCCACATGTGGTAAATCGTGACTTATGTTACTCATTTTATAATACATAATAACTGTGCAACAGGTCAGCCTAATCTAATCCTCCCGTAAGATCCTATCGTGCTTTCAACAGACATACTTACAAATACTTAATACAATTCAGGATATACTGATGGGTCTACGACCAGTATTTCGATGTATTACAAAAGAAATGATGAAATCAATGCATCGTTTGGCTGGATTAAACAATCATATCATCATCCTCATCTTAATGAAGATCGTTATCATGATCAATGATTTTTTGTTTGAAAATATGATATGATTTATTCAAGGTGGGACTACAACCAGTATTTCGATGTGTTAGAAACGGAATGATAAAATCCATGCATCGTTTGGTGCGGTTTACGCGATCGTATCGTCATTTACTCTAATCTAATTTCAGAAAATGTATCTGTCAATTAGTCTCCAAGGTCGTGAGATTTGACACTTCTCGATTATTTCCTGTTGGCGCCACATCAGGTCTCTAGTTAAATCTGCAACAATTAACGACGTCTTAGAGGCCAAAATTGTTCACGACAACGCTCAATATTGTTGTTCAATATTGGACGTCCAGAATGTATTTCGTTAAAACTTGCTGAGGCTCTACAAGAAATCGATCATTCAGACATATTAGTTATATCGTTGTTATGCCGATTTTCAAAACAGCCGTAAGTAGGAGACTTCAGCTGAAATTGAAGTAAATGTGACGTTCAGTTTCAAAGACAATGATCGCGAAGAAGATTATTATGACATGACAATGTCTCTTCGATATGCTTTATATACAAGTGGATGCTGATATCTGAAACATTTGACACCGAAATGTGTAGTATTCGAGTTGAAAGTAGTGCCTGATAAGGACAACGAAAGATTATCACTATTGCGATTTGTTTTACACATAAAGTAGAAGATGATGTCAGAGGCACTTGATGTATGTTAAAGCTATAGTTATAAAAGGCTACATTGCTACACATTGCGACCAGACATTCTAGATGAAGTAACTGTGCATTCATGTTCGAAAAGTAGCATAATGAATGTGAAGAAGTTAATGACGATATGAAGATCACTCTTTCGATCAGCAATTCGTTCAAGTGTGAAGCACCTGACACTGGATTACGATGAGGGCGAAGAATATAAAAGCCGTTTTCAGAATTTCTATTTCGTTTTGCATTATACGTACAAGTGGGACATGACGTTAGAAGCGTCTAATGTGGGTTAAATCTTTAGGAATAAAAGGCAATAGCATTTGATACATTGGGATCAGAGAAATTAGGTTCTATAGGTTAGGCTGCATTTTTGTTTCAAGATAGACTTAAACATTATCTGCAATATGAAAAATGACTCAATAGTGGATCACATCTTAACAAATAACAACAATTAAACTGTTTGTGTTTAAGAATAAAATACATTTAAAGTTTATTGCTCTTTTATAATTTAAAAATAAAACTGATAATACACAATATGTATTGTACGAGAATGCCTTAAACAATTAATTATATTAAATAGCAAAAAAAAAAAAAATACAGAGTATAAAGGAAATAATCCTTAGAAACAGATAATTTGAGCTTATGTTCATCTTAAATAAAGTTTTCAAACCCTAAAGAAAAAGAAAAAACTATTAAACAATACTGATGATGAATAAAGTTAAATAAAAATAATAATTATAAGAGGAGACAAAGTAGAAAACTAAATTCTTAATAGTATAGATATAGAAAATCAAAAAAAAAAATACAATAGCTTTAGAAGCTAAATAATTGGGAGAGAAAATTGAATCAAATATAAAACTATTAATAAAAAGAACACCTCAAAACTACAGCTACAAAGTCAAAGTTAAAGAAACGTTAAAAAATTAAACATTTTTAGAAAACAAACCAAATACAAGTGATATTTTTTAATTTAAATTTTCTAAATATTTGTTTGTCTTTTTTTCTTACTTTACAAAATCTGTAGCATTCAAATTATAGCATTCTATGAGTTGGGGACTTTTAAACAGCTCAAGTTTATTACAAATCTTAAGCTAATATACTGTTATTATTCAATTTAAAACTGTTCTTTTTCAAAAATAATACTCTTACTTATTTAAATAAAATGATGTGTGTGTGTGAGTCTTAAAATATGATTGAATGTTGAGTCTTCTTCGATTCTTGATTTATTCATTTGAGAGATTCAAAACATCATCACCCGTCTTGGGTATTTTAGCTGGTGGTGGAGCAGCCAAGTCGGCAATTGAGGAAAATTCCATGCGTTTTTTGGTGGCAGCATTGGCTAAGCCGGCATTGGCCAGACCAACACTGAGAGCGGCCAGGGAACCGGGTGGTGCCAACTCACCATACAGACGGGTCAAATCCACGGGAGGCGTATTCGAAGGACGTCGATGCGAAGAAGAGTTACTGCCATCGGAAGGAGCTGGTGAAGGAGTATTGGAGGGTACACTAGAAATGGCCAAATCTACAGCACTAAAATTATATTTACCACCTCCCGAACCGCCGCCGCCACCACCTCCAGCATTCGAGCCGCCACCACTACCGCCCGCCGACTCCAGACAAGGCTGATTTTGTGGGTGTTAGACGTTCCAGGGCTGGTGAGGCCGACGATTCCCGTGTACGGGAGGAGGATGAAGTCGACTTGGGTGGTTTCATCATCATGGCATTTATCGACTCTTGCTGCATTTTCAACAAAGCTGAAGGAGACATGAACAGATTGTTAGCGGCTAATGTTGACTTAGCTAAAGGATCGGGTATACCAAATTTACCAGCTTGTTGTTGTTGCTGTTGAAAGAAAGCGGCATAATCTTGAATTTTCTCATGGGCCAAAGCATTATAAGCAGCAGCGGGATCAGTTAAAGGTGAGGGAGCACCAGTGGAATTAGGTCCTGAGCCTCCACCGCCTGATTTGGAGGATGATGGTGTATTTGCCGATGGTGGCTGACCGGTAGGTTGTGCGAATAGAGCATTTAAGTCAGCGGCAGCTTTGTTTTGATGATAGAGTAAAGCATTAAGATCGCTTTGTTGCTTTTCCGATTGCAATAGCTGATTTAACATATCAGTTTGTTGGGTGAGTTGCTGTTGAGCTTCCTTTTGTTTTTGTTTCGATGAAGAGGAGGAGGTGGAGGGACCGCTAGCTCCTCCCACGCCGGCTGATAGCAAGGCAGACAATTCATGTGAAGAGGGACCTGCACCTTTAGCCGCTATTAAAGCTCCAAAGTTGGGATCGAAAAACTTGGTGTATGTTTGCAAGAGTTGAGTATAATCGTTGTGAGCTTGAGCCTGAGCTTGGGCCTGTGCTTGAGCTTGTGCCTGAGCCTGTGCTTGAGCCTGTGCCTGAGCCTGTGCTTGCGCCTGTTGCTGCTGCTGCTTTTTGGAAGTGCTGGGAGTAGGAGCTGAGGGTACCTGTACAGCAGCTGCGGCAGCCGCCATTTGTTGTTGTATGAAAGCATTTAAATCATTATTTTTTTGTTTGCTGCTGTAAATATGAATCGTAACCCAATAGCTTGGAGGCTTGTATAAGATTATTATAGTCAGCCGTTAAAGCTGCCGCCGATACAGCGGCTGCATTGGCCGCAGCAGCTGCTGCTGAAGAATTTTTACTTTTACCTCCAGCTGAAGATGAGGCCGAGGAGGTTGAAGGTTGCATACCAGCGCCTCCTGTTAGATAACTAAAATCAGCTCCAAATCCCAAAGTGCCCAAAGTGGTAGCTCCCAAAGCTTCGGCTTGTTGCAGTAAAAGAGCTGCATATTCTGGTGATCTTATGAGTTCACTCATTTTCAAGGGATCATTTTTCAATTCATCCAATTCTTTCATTAGTTTAGTTTTATACGAGTTCGACGAAGTGGATGATGAGGACGAAGAAGATGATGATGAAGACGATTTGGAGGATCTCTCTTTTGATTTGCTTGGTGTGGGTGTAGGAGCTGCTGCCTGTGGCATCATATCTTGCAGGCGAGGCATGTTGAAGCTTTGTGAGTAAGCGGCCACAGCGGCAGCCACATTGGGATCAGAGAAATCGGGTACTCCAGATTGGGCTGCAGCTGAGGTGGATGTGGCTGTGGCGTTTTGTGATTTATTTTGTCCTCCTACTTTTGCGGCGGCTGCAGCCAATTGATTGAGCGATGTACTGCCATAATCTTTGCGTTGTTGGAAGAGTGCGGCCAAATCGGTTTGCAGGAAATTAGGCGGCAGTTGGCCGGCCAATTGAGCCAAACTAGCAGCCATCAAATCATTAGCCGAGGGCATGCCATGCGCTGTTGAGGAGGAAACAGTGGGCGGCACTAAAGCCCCTGTTGTGGGATCAAATTTGTTGGTGGGTGTAATACTAGGGCTGTTGCGGGCTATATCACTAATACTGAACTTGCCGGGACTGGGTGCTGGAGAGTTGCGAGTCCTTGAAGTGTGTGAAGACGTATCAGACTTGGCTGGTGAAGGAGAGGCTCTTACGGGCATTTCAAATTTGGCCGGAGAAGCCGAGTTTGAAGGTATGGTGATGGGACTGTCTCTGGGTGAGGCAGAGGGCAAGTTAGGGGTTGCTGTAGGCAACTGTGGCAATGATGGCAAAGAAGGAGGCATAGGTGGCAGCAAACCCGGGGGAGGAACTGTCGGTGGTTGCACTAGAGGCGGTATAATGGGAGGAATGCTAGTAGCATTTGTAGTGGCTGTGGTGGTGGTTGCAATAGGATTTGGTGTGGCCAAGGGCGATAACATTCTTACAGGATTCATATTGAGACCAGAAGGCAAACATAATTGTTCTTGCAAAGATAAAACCTTTAGTTCACTGGCTTTCTGTTCCGCCTGCTGTTGTTCCTCAGCCGCTCTTAAAGCCTCCTCAGCTGAGCTTAATTGTTTTGTAGTCAAATCATCACACTTTAATTCATCCTCCGGTTTAATTTCCAATTTTGTATCCATATGCAATTTCGGCAATTCTTCTTTAGTGTCAATGATTTTAATGGTTTTTGGTGGTATAAAATCATCTTCCTGCTCACAACCCAAAACGGCACATATCCAATTCCATAAAGCTTTATCATTTTGCTTCATTGGAAACTTGGGATAAAGAGTATTTTTCAGTTTTTCTATATAAGTAACATCGTCACTGAAGACGCTCGAGAAGCGTACCACTTCATTGCGAAATTGTGTGTAGTAATCAACACAGGATTGTATTTCAGTGCGTACCTCTTCGGGTATCTCTTTATCGGGTAAAACTGAGTATTGCATCAGCATGGGGCGGCCATATTCCAAGGCTTGTTTATTTTCATTGGGCGGCATAACCCAAATTGATTTAACCACCGATTCCAAGGTGGGATTTTCATCGAAGTAAGGGGCTAGAAAACAAAAACAGAAAGCAACATTTTATCTTGGGAAAACTCTTATAAAAACGTAACAAACTTACATATCACTAAAGCCACACAGGGCGTATAGGTGGCATCAGAAGATCCCTCA